AGAGCTTACAGCCCAGCAGGCAGATAGGCATTCATCATATAATATGAACATAAAAAAAACCAACAACACGAACATATATAGAATTGTAACTGCATTAAAGTCTGTGAGGAAGAGGTGCATCATGTATAAAATTATTAGGTATGACCTGATCAGAAGGTCAGGAAACAATACAGAGGTCGTGACAATTAGATCTAAATAACTGCAAGTGTCAATCAGATAAGTAAGGAAGTGAATGGTGTTCAGGCAGAAAGAATGGCAAGTTAAAAGGTCCTATGTTGGGAAAGAGCTTGAGGCTGACAAAAATATAAGAAAAATTTGACTGTGGTTGATTTGACAGACTTTGTTCTGATCCCTAGCACCAAGATTAGCTTTGCCTGTATTTAAACTTTATATGAATGAAATTAAAGCTTCTGGCTTCTTTCAATCATTATGTTTATCAGATTCATCCATATGATTGCATGTATGAGTAGTTTGTTCCATTTTAGACCTGAGTAGCTTTTCTTGTATGAATATGTCACAATTTTTAATCCATTCTCTTATTGATGGATATTTACATTGTTTTCAGCTCTTATGAATAAATCTGATGTGAACATTTTTTTACAAGTCTTTTTGTTAACATATGTTTTCATTTCACTTGAGTAAATGCCTAAGAGTGAAATTTCTGGGTCATAGCTAAATATTTAACTCTACAAGAAACTATTTTTCAAAGTGATCGTTCCATTTTATATCCTCATTAGTATTTTATAAAGAGTTTCAGTTTTTTGCATTCTCATCAACATTTTGTATTGTTAACCTTTATAGCCACTCTAGTGGTTGAGGAATGATATGTCATTGTGCATTTAATTTGTATTTCCCAGATGCCTGATGGTAGTGAGCATATTATTCTTGTGGTTAATGGCCATTGCATATGTTTTGTGCGATGTCTGTCGAATTATTTGCCCATTTTGTTCATTGGTTCATTTATTTTTTTTGTAGGATATTTTTTAGTATATTCTGGATAGGGGTTCTTTCTCAGACAGCTGTAGTGTAATTTTTCTTTTCAGAAAAAAATAGTTTTTTTAAAAATAATTTTTTCAGTGGATTTTCTTTTCTTTTTTTTTTTTTTGACAATGTCCTTTAATGAGCAGCTGATTTTAATTTGATGTTATATAATTTCTTTATCAACATTTTCTTTTATGGTGCTTGCTATATGAGTCTTATCTAAGAAATTTTTGTCTTTCTTAAAGTGGCAAAGATTTTATTATCCTTGTCTTTAAGAATATTTTATTTTGCATTAATATAGCTACATTTGCTTTCTTATGCTTAGTGTTGATGTAATGCATTTCCCCATGCTTTTGTTTTTGACTTATCTATGTCTTTATACTTTGAATGTCTTTCTTAGAAATAGTAGACTATCAGTTTCTTTTCTTTGTTTTAAAATCCAGTCTGAAAATTTTTGTTTTTTAATTAGTCTATTTATTCCATTTACATTTAATGTAATGCTTAGTATGGTTAGATTTAGGACTGCCATCCCATGGTTTACTTAGTGTTTTTTTTTTTTAAGATGTATTTATTTATTCTAGAGAGAGAGAGAGAGAGAGAGCATAGGGGGTGGGAGCAAATGGAGAGGGAGAGAATCTCAAGCAGACTCCCACCGAGTGTGGAGCCCAATGTAGGGCTTGATCATGAGATCGTGACCTGAGCTGAAATCAAGAGTCAGATGCTCAATGGACTGAGCCACCCAGGTACCCCCTGTTGTTTGTGTTCCGTTTTTCCCACCAGCTGTTTGTTTTTACCTTCTTGACTTGTGTGTGCGTGTGTGTGTGTGATGGTCATCATTATTATTATTTTGATTTTTTTTCCCTTTCAGTTAAAACACCTACTGAATTTGTTTTATTGTGATTCTGCTGCAGTGAATTCGTCCTGTTTCTGAACATGTCTTTGCTTTACCTTCCATTCTGAAGGATACCTTTGCTCTACATGAAAATCTAGGTGGATAAATATTTTCCTCTCAGTATTTTAAAGATGTCATTTCATTATTTTCTGGTTGTCTTTGTTTTTCATGATTTGTACGCTGTAATTATTATCTCCCCTATCCCATCCCCCCCAAACATACTTAAATACTTTTTTTGCTTTAGATGTTTAAAAGACTTTTTCCTTCTTATTTCTTATTTTCAGCTTTACTGTTACCCATCTTTCTACTGTCACTTTGTTTGCATTTATCTTCCTTGAATTTCACTAAACTAAGATCTCTAGGTTGTTTGAAAAATTTTAGTCATCCTTTATTCATATAACATTGATGTCCTATTCAGCCTTTTTTTCCCCCCAGACTCAATTACCTATGTTTTAGACTGCTTGATATTGTCCTATGGAACATCTTTGAATCTCGTTGTCTTTTTGCTTCAGTTTGGAATCATTTGTATTGATATGTTTTTAAATTGTTCTTTCTTAGTGTTCAATCTACTATTAAACCTATCCAATGGGGATGCCTGGGTGGCTCAGTAGTTAAGCATCTGCCTTCCACCCAGGGGGTGATCCTGGAGTCCCAGGATCAAGTCCCACATCAGGCTCCCTGCATGGAACCTGCTTCTCTCTGCCTATGTCTCTGCCTCTCTCTCTGGGTCTCTCATGAATAAATAAATAAAATCTTAAAAAAATTAACTAAAAAAAAAACCTATCCAATGGATTTTTTATTCTAGAATGTATTATTTACTTATGTGTCCCAATATTGACCTCTCTTTCTATTGCTTATTTTGTCCCTGGACTATCATAACAGTTTTCTGTTTCTTTACATGCCTAATGGTTTTTAAGTGCATAGTGGACACAGTTCATACATTGTAGAGAGCAGGTAGTTAAATTACTGGTGGGTTTCCTTGATTATGATTTTAATCTTTTTTTTTTTTAAGTGTGAATGTATTTTCTACATTTTTATCTTAGTCCCAGGTTATAACCCATTATCTTGGGACTTGCTTCTTATTCCTAACGCATGGCCTTCTGTGACTTAAATGGAGAGCTTGAGTTATCTACCAAGCTTCTCTAAATTGATAGGGCTTGAGCTCAGAAATTTGTCTTTTAGCCATGAGAGTTGGTGAAATTGTTGCTTACCTCTTACCTACTAGTCATTGCTGGAGTAGACAGATATCTTGTAGTCTCATTTTGTGCATGCATACTTTAAATCACGGAGAAGAATTTAAGGTAGATTTATATATAAATTTATGGCTCTGTTTGTTAAAGGATCTCCCCTTTGACTTCAAGATGCTCTGGCAACCCCAAATTGTGACTTTTGAATGTTTAGTCCCATAAGACTTTTCTTCTTGAGCTCTATCACCAATGAACTTTATAAACTGGAAATTTGCTTTCCAGGAATAGACAGTTAAATGAATATCTTATTTAATGTGTCTCTTTTTTTCCCAAGGGTTTGTCTTTTTTTCAGTTTCTGTCTACTTTCAGTTGTTTTTAGTACCTTGAAACAGATTTTTGCCATAATCTGTCCACTGCTTCTAGATTTAGCATCTATTCTGATAAGTTTAATTGGTTGTTACATATTTATTTTTCTTAACATGTAAATTTTTTTAGAGTAAAGATATGTTTTATTGCTCTTTATTCTATCCCATTGTTTGTCCCAGAATAGTGCCTTTCACTTAGCAGCTACTTAGTAAATGTTGAATTGCATTGTTATTTTTATGACGACCAACTTTGAGTCAGGATTTAAACTTAAAGTCTTAAACTCAGAAGTTAATTTCTCTTTTTAGGACACTATTTTGCATATGAATTCAAAGGAGGTTTGGTTTTTTTGTTGATATTTTGAATTTTTTAAGTATAGTATTCCCTTAAATAATTTACTCTTTTCTAATATTGGCTTTTCAATTGAGGTTGATATCAAAAGATACTATTTTTTGTATTATGTTTTTTTAATTTAAATTCAAGGTAGCTAACATATAGTGTAGTATGGGTCTCAGGAGTAGAATTTAGTGATTTATCACTTACATATAACCTCCAGTATTCATCCCAGCAAGTGCCCTCCTTAATGCCCATCACCCATTTCGCCCATCCCCCTACTCACCTCCCCTCCAGCAATCCTTCCTCAGTTTGTTCTCTATATTTAAGATTCTCTTAGGGTTTGCCTCCCTCTCTGGTTTGATCTTATTTTATTTTATACCTAAAGCAGAATCACTTCTACATGCAAAATATGAATAAAAAGAGATATTCCTTTTATTTATAATAATATTTCCCAAATTCTGTGTAGAATGTAGTTTAAAATACTATCTTTGAATAATTTCATTTTAGAAAAGGACCCTTCAATGTTTTTAAATTTTTTTTAAAGATTTATTTATTTGAGAGAGAGAACAAGGGGGAAGAGGGGCAGAGCAAGAGAATCCCGAGCAGACTCCCCACTGAATGTAGAGCCCTCTGTGGGGCTCCATCTCATGACACATGAGATCATGAGCTGAGCTGAAACCAGGAGTCAGAAGTTTAATCAGCTGAGCCACCGAGGTGCCCCTCTTCAATGTTATCTTAAATTAGACTTCTCAAGATCAATCTAATGGACCATTTGTCCCCTCATGTCAAAATTATAATATTATATATAGAATTTTTGGAGCAGTCATACAAATTTGCCTCAATATTATCAAGTTCAGTTTTCTCATTTAGTGGAGAAGTGACTGTAGCCCTAATTTTAATAAGATAATCTGTTTTTGGGGAAATTATTATAGTCATTAACATTTATTTAATATCAACCATACTTGGTTTTCATAGCTTAGGATATACTCGAATGGAAAGAGGTATTATAAACTAGCTTCTTTTCAATGGAGTTTTTGTTTGTATGCAAATCTTATACTTATTGCAGATCTCATTTGATAATCATGTTAACTGATTATGTCAATCTCAAGAATAGGCTTTATTATTTGTACCATAACAAACCATAGTTGCATTTGTTTATGAATTTATCTTTTTGTTTACTTGAAAGGAGTACCTTGTTAAATGAAGCTAAAAAAACTTCCTTTTCCTTCTTTCTTCTTTAGAATCGAGTTTCTTACTGGGAAATGCCCAGATTGTGGATTGGCCTGTAGTTTATAGTAATGACGGTTTTTGCAAACTCTCTGGATATCATCGAGCTGACGTCATGCAGAAAAGCAGCACTTGCAGGTAGGTAATAGAACATCTTAGGAATCTTTTCTGAAGTTTAAGTAAATGCTGAATGTGGTTAAAGTCTAAACTTACAGTAGTCCTCCACTTGACCCCGGTTTTGCTTCCCTGTGGTTTTTACTTCCCTGTGGTTTCATGCTTCCAGTTGTTACCCACAGTTAACCACTTCCAGGAGCAGATGCTCCTCCTGGTTGGCTACATCATTCACCTCACTTCATCTCATTTCCTATGAAATGCTATGTTATTTCCTATGAAAATGCTCCGCATTTTCTCATTTTACATCGTCAAAAGAAAGGTGAGTACAATACAATAAGATGCTTAGAGAGAGACCACACTCCTATAACTTTTATTACATTATATTGTTATTAATTGTTCTTTTATTATTAGTTATTATTGTTAATCTCTTCCTGTGCCTAACTTATAAATTAAACTTTATCATAGGTATGTATATATAGGAAAAAATAAATTTATACAGTGTTTTGTACTATCTGAGATTTCAGACACCTATGGGTGGGTGTCTTGGAACGGATCCTCACCAGGGAAGGGGAAACTCCTGTGCTTAGACTTTTTGTGATATTGGGATTTTCTTATAATAAGAAATATATATTTTGGGGGTGCCTGGTGGCTCAGTCAATTAAGCATCCACCTTCTGCTCAGGTCATGATCCCAGGGTCTTGGGATTGAGCCCTACATCAGTCTCTCTGCTCAGTGGGAAGACTGCTTTTCCCTCTTGTCTGCCTGTCCCTCTACCTGCTTGTGCTCTCTCATTCTCTGTCAAACAAATGAATAAAATCTTAAAAAAAAGATATATATATATATATATTTGGCCTTTGATGTGGTTCCTGGCTCCAGTCTTTTTTTTTTTTCTATAAATTAATTTTTATTGGTGTTCAATTTACCAATATACAGAATAACACCCAGTGCTCATCCCGTCAAGTGTCCCCCTCCGTGCCCGTCACCCATTCACCCCCACCCCCCGCCCTCCTCCCCTTCCACCACCCCTAGTTCATTTCCCAGAGTTAGAAGTCTTTATGTTCTGTGTCCCTTTCTGATATCTCCCACACATTTCCTCTCCCTTCCCTTATATTCCCCTTCACTATTATTCATATTCCCCAAATGAGTGAGAACATACACTGTTTGTCCTTCTCCGATTGACTTACTTCACTCAGCATAATACCCTCCAGTTCCATCCACGTTGAAGCAAATGGTGGGTATTTGTTGTTTCTAATGGCTGAGTAATATTCCATTGTATACATAAACCACATCTTCTTTATCCATTCATCTTTCGATCTGGCTCCAGTCTTTTAAAACCCTTGGAATTTCCTGTGATAAGAATGATAAATGTGCCCTTTTGTTATGTTAATGATGATGTTTGGAAAGCGGTTAGGTAACCTTAGTTTAAAGGCTATTGCATCCAGGTGATCCGGAGGGTTGAACCTTTTTTTTTTTTTTAATAAATTAATTTTTATTGGTGTTCAACTTACCAACATACAGAATAACACCCAGTGCTCATCCCGTCAAGTGTCCCCCTCAGTGCCCGTCACCCATTCACCCCCACCCCCCGCCCTCCTCCCCTTCCACTACCCCTAGTTCATTTCCCAGAGTTAGAAGTCTTTATGTTCTGTCTCCCTTTCTGATATTTCCCACACATTTCTTCTCCCTTCCCTTATATTCCCTTTCACTATTATTCATATTCCCCAAATGAATGAGAACATACACTGTTTGTCCTTCTCCGATTGACTTACTTCACTCAGCATAATACCCTCCAGTTCCATCCATGTCGAAGCAAATGGTGGGTATTTGTCGTTTCTAATGGCTGAGTAATATTCCATTGTATACATAAACCACATCTTCTTTATCCATTCATCTTTCGATGGACACCGAGGCTCCTTCCACAGTTTGGCTATTGTGGACATGGCTGCTAGGAACATCGGGGTGCAGGTGTCCCGGCGTTTCATTGCATCTGAATCTTTGGGGTAAATCCCTAACAGTGCAATTGCTGGGTCGTAGGGCAGGACCTTTGAGTACTCCAGCCCCACAACCTCCTAGCCTCTAGGGAGAGGATGGGCCTGGAGGTTGAATTAATTGCCAATGGTCAAGAATCTAATAAATCATGAGAGCTTCTGAGTTGGTGAAATGTGGAAGTGCTGGAAGAGTAGAGCACCTGGAGACAGCGTGGAAGCTCTGGGCTTCCCCCCATACCTTGCCTGTGTATCTCTTTGATCTACCTGTTCCAGAGTTATATCCTTTTATAATAAACCAGTGATCTAGTAAATAGACTATTTCTCTGAGCTCTCTGTGCTGCCCTAGCAAATGAATCGAACCCAAGAAGATTGTGGAAACCTCCAGTCTGTAGTTGATGGGTTAAAGTACAGGTAACAACCCATGCTTTCAACGGGTGTCTGGAGGGGGAGTGGAGGGTGGTCTTGTGGGACTGAAGCCTTAACTTGTGGAATTACGCTGTCTCCGGATGGATAGTGTCAGAATTCAGATAAATCGTAGGACAACTGTGACCGAACCAATTCGAGTTCATTCTCTGATGAGTCAGAAACTGCACCAGGTGGAGCTGTCACACAAAAACGTAATTTGAAGCAAATAAGGACATCACGGGGAATGGCTTCCAAAGCCTTGACTCCCCGACCCAGGGTGAATGGATTCTTTTTACTTAGGGTTAGGGAAGCCTTGTCATCATGGGCAGAGGAGCACACCTTGTATGTTATGTAAATGAGGCTTGTGCTCCTCCCCGGGCAGGGATTTTAGTACTTTAATGACGTCAGAGTGGTGGTCCATCATTTTGGAGGCCATGGCAGGGTCCATCTGCGCAGGCGCGAGGCAGAGGTTAAGCTCCACCTGGTCCCTGTGATGAGCTGGCTGGAGGCCTTGTCAGGGCAGCCGCTTTCGCTGGAGGGGCCGTTTCGCTTTGCCTCTGCATTCGCCCGAGTTAAGAGGTAAGCTGGAAAGAAGAGCTTAAGGGAAAATGAGGGACAACGGTGGGTGAATACAAGCAGGTGGGCAGTAAAGGTCAGGTCTTGGGTCTAGCTGGTGATACCACCTGCTGGTATCCCAAGAATTGATTGTTGGTGTGGAGACTGTCACCCCCCCTTCCCCGCCCCTCCCCCATTGGCACTACAGTCTATTTACTCCTATATAAAAACTGTAGAGTAAAAATTATATTAGAATATGAAGGAGACTAAATTGTCAGTGGAAATATATAGCTTAAGAGCCATTGGGGGGAACTTGTGCAAAGAAAAAGATTTTTGTATATCTGTAAATCTATTAATTCATTCAGTAAATATTTTTTGACTGTGATGAGCCATGAACTATTCGAGGTGCTAGTGATCAAAGGAGCATCCTCTAGCAGAGAATCACTGATGGCATCACATCAGCACTTCTTGAGCTGCTAAAACTGCCTTGAACAGAGTAAACAGCCCCCCAACCAAGTAGGACATAATTCACAAACATTTAGAGAACATCAAAAAAGAATTTTTTTTAAAAAAAGATTTTTATTTATTCATGATAGAGAGAGAGAGAGAGAGAGAGAGAGAGAGAGGCAGAGACACAGGCAGAGGGAGAAGCAGGCTCCATGCAGGGAGCTGGATGTGGGACTCGATCCTGGGTCTCCAGGATCACACCCTGGGCTGAAGGCGGATGCTCAACCGCTGAGCCACCCAGGCGTCCCCCCAGAAAAGTTTTTACATCCTGTGTAAATCACACGTGCTTTGTAATGTTGGTACATTGTACCATTGCTATTTTGTTTGGCTTATGTAAAACAGAATCTGGTATTTATATTATTTATAACAATTCTTTCTAAAATAGGCCATATCTGTGCATTTAAAGGGAGTATTATGAAAAAAAGATCTTATAAAAGAGAAGGAAATTCTATAAAAGAACCAATTTAGATCTGAAAAATTTTTCACAATATTTCAGTAGGGCCAGATGGGATGTTTTTCCTTGAGTTAATTTTTCTTCAAAACTCTCACTTAACCTAGCACCAAAATCATGTTATTTTGGAACCATGAGGGATCTGAATTATTTTCTACTCCAGATACTTTGTTTTTCAGAGAAGAAAATTGAGGTAGAGTTATGTTTAAGGACTTGCCCGGGAAAATATAGTGATTTATTTATCCTTTTTTCTATATATTTATGCTGAAAAAAAATAGAAAGATATATATGCATATATTCTGCATCTTCATGGAAGCCAGGATTTCATGTTATACCAGTGAATCTAAACCTGACTACACATACAAATCACTTGGAGAGCTTTAGCACAACACATATTCCCAGACCTCACCTCTGGGAATTACTTATTCAATTAGAATCACCCAAGGTGCGAGGTGGGGGCAGGTAACAAAGGTAACAAATCAGTACCTTTAACCATCAGCTCAGGTGATTCTGATGTTTAGCCAGGTTTGAGAAATAGTTTGTTCAAAACTCTTCTTCACTTATCTGGTTTCCACAATCCTCATTTTTCTCTCTAACTTTGTTTTTACATTCAATCTTCACTTCTAGGTCTGAAATGGGTAAACGAGAGTGGTGGGAAGTTGCCTTTTGTAGCACTGGTACCTTTGTGCCTTTTTCTTCTGTTAGGTGAATATTAGCTCCTACGCTGGCTCTGCTACTAAGGTGTGTGTTCTAAGTTCTGAGAGGGTGAGGTCTGTATTGAGCTTCTCTGTTCCCTTATGCCTCAGCAGGCTTTAAGTTAGGAAAAGGCTAGTTTTAATGTTACTTATGCATCTGGCTCTGTAGAGAATTCCAGGACTGTAAATGCTTCCATACCCATTTCTTCTTTTTGTACTGTGGACATCCCATTATCATGCCATGCCTCTTTCAGATGCTATCTTCTGCCTGAAGGTATTTATGATTTCCTCAAAAAGATTTTCCTCCTCTGACTTCCTTGTGGTTCATTATTTGGCATCATCATCTGGCCTTAAACTAGCTTTCCTTATTCCTTGGGGTTTTCATTGCAATTGTTTTTGTGATTTTTGAGACATATTGCCCCC